AGTAAGTGAACTGTACAACGACCTGGCCATATACCCAACCCGCCTCCATTGCGTCTCCAAAGGTAGTGCAATTGCTCCATGAGACGCTTTGTATAGAGTGGCAAAACTCTATTATGCGGAAACTTGGAAGAGGAGTTCAGAAACTGAGTTGACTGTAGAATGAGATCAAACACATGCGACGCGTACACATGCATGCATCCACGAATCAATCTCCTTCATCTATACAAGCATATGGGCATTTACCCAATGCCTCCTCCCATGCATCGCCATACATGTACAATCATGTAACTGGCTATGGAACTCCATGGATGCGAGGCAAAAGGTGGTGCGCTTCGTGTCTGTGTCCGCTAGGGGCACGAGGGCTTGCAGTATCCGATTGCATTATTTTGTTCCGACTGGTGGGACACACGCACACGCATACACACACACATACACAAACACACACACACACACACACACACACACACGCACACACACACACACACATAGCGGCATGCACGCTCACACCTACACGGTACATACAGGATGTTCCGGGATAAAACAGCGGATATTGATAACACCTAAGACCCTCGCCCTTAGGAAGAGAATGGAGCGCTACCATCCTCACGCTCACGGTTGGCCATAAATTCCAGAACACGGTGACATGCTGTTGTAAAATTCGTCTACAGTTCTCTACTAGAAGTCAACGAACACCTTGCCGGAGACTTTTTGTCGATGTGAATCAGACCCTATAAAATGCCGTATTTAAAACTTCACTGCTAGTAGTATGCAACCTTTCTTTGGCTGTATCTCTCGCGACAAGCCTTTCAGAGCTCCCCATGAAATTCGTGGATGCCGTCCATTACCAGACTGAGGGGAGGGCCAGCGAGTATGCCCCTCAGGGCATTTGTGTCGTCGTGGCCGGACGCCTCTGCTGCCTGTGAGGATGGGGCACGTGGTAACAAGGGGAGAGGGGGGGGGGGGGGGGCACAATGCAGTGCTTGCGAGCCTGGCATGCATGGACATTGCGCTGAACCATGGCGGCTGAAGCACCGTCTTTCCGGGACTGTCTTCAACACAAGGTCCCATACAGTGCCATAGTGCCATACAATTATGTACAATCATAAAATAGAAGGTTCATCTGTATTGATGGACAACACGTGCCTGTGCATATGGTGGACTGTTTCATGCTTGCGTAGCGCGTGGTGGCAGTACGTGCTCGTGGTGCAGGCCGGCGTCAAGGATCTCATTCTTGTCAGGAAAATAAGTCAAGTGCCTTGTTTACTCATACGGCCACTAGCACTGGTCCATGACAATGCTAAATGCACATATTTGGAGAAGAATGGTGGGTCACGAACACGGACCAGTACAAAGACAGCTCAAGGACCTATGCTTCTGTAAACTGATGGTGTTACTGAATACTGTATTCCTGCAGGAGGGATTCCGGGGGGGGGGGGGGCGTGGGCTGTTCGCGAGTGTGACTTGGACAGGACGAGATGCCTGCATACGTATAATCATACATGTACATGATTGTACAGTACATGCTAGCCGCTGCAAGCACAACCATCTGGTCGGCTGTATTTCCGGTACTGGGACTCAGCCATTGCCCCCATGCCATGGCCCCTTGGCATTGGAACAGTCCGAACTCGTAACGCTAGCCTGGGTCAACACGCGGACGGGCTATTTCGACTGAGAGCACTTGGACACACTCAACTACTCAGCAGCAAGATCTATGGGCCTGTATGGTAATCTCTGTCGCAGCACTTGTCGTGAGAATTTGCAGTCGATGGACCAGCTGACGTTTGGTGTGAAGTGTTTTGACCGTCCGTCCGCCCTACAAGTCTGTATGTGCAGTGGCTGAGTAAACAACCTCTTCAGAACACACGTTCTGCGCGTGATTTTGGTTTCTCTTGCCCGCATAGCTCCACGTGGTCAATATGCACGACTGCACGTGCACATGCAGACGATGACGCGCGCTAACGACTACGTTACCACAAACCATCGTCTTCTAAACTTTTAAAGACTTTTAAAGACTAAAGTGAAAGAAGATGTTCATACGCCTGCCATACACTGATACAGACTACAGTGCACCAAGTATGTACTACTAGTACCCCTACTAGCCCTAGTGTCCTATTATGTTTAGTATGAAAATAACATGCATTTTGTAGATAAGAGTGAAACACAGCACCTCAACTTACTCTCCTCTACTGTACTAATATCCGGTCAGCGCAACCCATTGTTGCACCAGTGCACCCCTCCTCCCCCCCCCCCCCCTCACACGTACGCAGGAAAAGAGGGGATGAGAGGGGAAGAAGAAGAGAGAAGGGGAGGGAGGAGGAAGTAGGAAATTGGATGGGAGGGATGGAGGCTCGGGGAGAGAGGAGAGAGGAAAGGTACTTCTACCCCTGAAGTCTTAGTTCTTTATGCGAGGATTTGTGCCTTTGCTACTAACCGAGCTAGTGAAAAGTAATATAATCTTGGTTTTACTGATTTTCCAACGGTCATACCCTATCGTGGGACC